CCAGAATGTGCCAGGACATGGATGGAACTAAGGATAGTTAGCTTGCAGGAGATGAGACTGCAGAAGAGACAAAAGGATTGATTTCAACACAGCTTGAAAGAATGCACATAGAAGGAACGAAATAAAACTAACATTTATTAAGTGTTTAATGATGTACTAGACACTCTAGATGTGATTTTCCTAATGTTATCTTGATAGGGTCCCAAAAGACGAATAAGGATAAAAAATGGAAGCACTTTCTTGCCTCAAGACTGTTCTACAGGCAGTTTCTGCCACCTGAGATGTTTTTGCCTTCACGCTTTATGTGGCTGGTTTTCAATTCATCCTTTAATTCCTTTTTTTTTTTTTTTTAGTCCTCACCCGAGAATATTTTTCCATTTATCTTTAGGTAGAATGAGACAGCGAGAAAGAAACATCGATGGGACAGACACATTGATTGGCTGCCCCACCCCGCACAACCCCAATCAGGGCTGGAGAACAAATTGCAACCAAGGTAAGTGCTCTTGACCAGAACTGAACCCACAACTCTTTGGTCCGCAGGCCAACACTCCAACTGCTGAGCCAAACCGTCCAGGGCCATCCCAAACATCACTTCCTCAGAAAGATCTAGTGTGAAATAGGTCCTTTCAACAGCATTTTCTCTGACAGCAATTACTGCATTTTATAGATTCAACTGTTTAAGGTCTATCTCTAGGACTAGACTATAAGATGTGATCAATAATTATTTGTTGAAGAAAGGGAGAGAGAAACTGAGGAAGGGAGGGAGGGGACAGGGAGTGAGAAAGAAAGGAAGGAAGGGAAGGAGAGAGGTCAAACTGGAAGCCACTCAAATGTTATCAACCACCTTTGTTAATGAACTTCATTCAGTAAGTTCAGACGAAAAATCTGCCAATGCCAACTCTAAGGATTTAGTTGGAATAGCTTTATCAGACCTAAGTTAGAACTTAGTTTATCTCAAGTCAGAGCTTAAATGATATCATGCCTCTTTTAATTCACTGTCTTCTGCTAAGGTCACTATCCTTCAGTTATTAAATATCACTTCCAATGACTGACTAAAGTATCTTAAAAATCCCTACAACCATTATCTTAATTCAGATCCTATTAATCTCACTGCCTCAAACCCTTTTAATCTATCATACATTCTTTTGCTAGTATAAATTTCTTTTTAACACTGCTCAGAGTCCATTGTCTTCTGACTGAACTCCAACCTGCTTATTCTGATATTGAAGGGAACAATTTACCCTTACAAAATATTTCTCACAAAGACTATATACCACAGGATGAAAGAATTATTTAGAAAACCAGAAAGGAAGTAAAACTGTCTTTGTTTGCAGATATAATTTTATACATGGAAAATTCCAAAGACTCCACAAAAAAACTATAAAACTAATCAATGAATTCAATAAAGTTTCAGGATATAAAATCTACATACAAAAATCATTTTCATTTCTACACACTAACAACAAAATATCTGAAAAATAAATAAATAATGCTATTTATAATAGCATAAAAACAATAAAATACTTGGGAATAAATTTAACCAAGGATGTGGAAGATCTGTACACTGAAAACTAAGATTTTGATAAAATAAATTGAAGACATAAATAAATGGAAAGATATCCCATGTTCATGGATTAGAGTTAATATTATTAAAATGTTCATACTACCCAAACAAAGCCATCTATAGATTCAATATAATCTTTATCAAAATCCCAAATGGCCTTTTTTCACAGAACTAGAAAAAAAAATCTTAAATGTATATGAAACCTCAAAAGATCCCAGAGAGTCAACGTGCTCCTGAGGGAAAAAAAGCTGAAGGCATACTTCCTGATTTCAAATCACACTACAAAGCTATAGTTATCAAAACAGTATGGCACTGGCATAAAAACATACACATACATTAATGGAACAGAATCAAGAGGCCAGAAATAAACCCTTGCATATACAGCCAGCTAATATTTGACAAGGGAGCCAAGAATATTTAATGGGGGAAAAGAATAGTGTCTTTAATAAATGTCATTGTGAAAACTGGATAATCACGTGCTGAATAATGAAATTAGACTCCCATCTTATGCCACTCACAAAAAATAACTTGCAATGGAGACTTCCTGAAACCATAAAATTTCTAGGAGAAAATATAGGGAAAGGCTTCTTGATATTGGTTTTAGCAATAATTTTTTGGATAAGATACCAAAACAATAGGCAACAAAAACAAAAATTAACAAGTAAGACTATATCAAACTAAAAAGGTTCTGCACAGTGAAAGAAACAATAAATGAAAAGGCAACTTACAGAATGGGAGAAAATATCTGCAAGTAATACATCTGTTAAGGGGTTAATATCCAAACTATATAAGGAATTCATACAACTCAAAGGCAAAAAAAACAAACAATCCAATTAAAACATAGGCAGAGGAACTGAATAAACATTTTTCCAAAGACATACAAATGACCAACAAGTACATGAAAAGATGCTCAACATCACTAATCATCTGGGAAAAGCAAATAAAAACCATAATGAACTATCACCTCACATCTTGTTAGATTGGCTATCATCAAAAAGACATGAGTGTTGGCACTAAAGAAAATAGAACTTTTTCTGAGTATAAGAATATATATGCTCATTATAGAAAACTCAGAAAATACAGAAAAGCATAAAACAAAACACCAGCTATAATCCCACCCTCCCACAATAATCCATGTATAGAATTAAGACTACCTTCATTTTAATCACTGGTTTATCCTATCTACCCCAATGCTTCAAATCAAAGAAGTTTCATTATATACAGTATTTTGCTTTGGAAATTCAACCCTAATGAATCTACCCAACGATAAGACACTATTGCAAATAATATTCTTTCATATGCTGATACAGTCATAGTTCATTAATTTTCATTACTTTTTATATTTTCAATACTTCTTAAAAAACTACAAGAGAAAACTCCAGGCCTTGAATTTCACTAGTGAAAAAAGCAAGTTCCCAACTTTAATTCAACTCCAATTAACCATTAAAAAAAACCTCAAAAAACTAAAATGTGCTTCAGTATATTCTCATGTATCAATTACAAACTTTGCTGAACTAGTCTAGGGAACTGCAGGGATTCTGTAAAGCTAATATTTATCCTTTAAGCAATTTTGTACATATCTATCATGAAAATTCTGTCATCAGTAGACAGCCATTCTAAATGATTATACTCAACGATGTTATACATTGGCAAAGTTTTAGATTATTCCTAGTCATTGCCTATTAAATGTGACAAACACGTACCTTATGCTAAGCATCATACTGTGAATTATATGGGGTAAAGAAGAAAATACAATCCCTATATTTCAGGGGCAAGGAGAATTAATATTATTGATTACTACCATAATCCAGGAAACAAGTAAGCTGCTTTACATACATTATGTGATTGAATCTTAAGAAAAGGATACTTATACAGGGTGGGGCAAAAATAGGTTTACAGTTGTGAATATGAGAAATCGTTTATTCTTGTATTATTTTTAATTATTGTATTCTTTTTAATGCTAACAATTATAAACCTACTTTTGCCTCACCCTGTATTCCCTTTTACAGATGAGAAAGCATAAAATGATTTAGTAACTTATCCATTATCACACTAGCAAGTAGATGGCAAAAGGAGAACTCACTCTCATACCTTTGGCTCTTCCTATTTTGTCTTGTTTAATACATACAGAGGCACATGACTGCCTACTGTAGAACCTTTCATCACTATTATCTGAATACCTGAGCTTCTCTTCTACTCTGATCGGTGCCCTGCTCATACTGATATCATGCATACAGAGCGGCAGAACTCAACAGGCAGGCAGCTCCCCTCATCATTTCAGATATACACCCGATGTACTTACAATGAAAGAATCCATACCATTTCTAGAAAATATAAATGAACTACATGAGCTACAGAAACATTTGTCCAAGAAAGTATGTCCCACTTCCCTCTGGCAGAAGGATCAACTGAGTTATAAGACAAACAAAAAGAGAAGAAAGTCCTATTTAATTTCTCAGTCCTGTTCCATAGTAGACTTTTTTCTTCTTTGGAAAACATCAATACAAACTAATAATTTTATGGATTATGTGCCTACATTTTCATGATAAGCAGTCATCAGTATACAAACAAGAAGGCCAAACACCACCTCTGTGTACCATCCACCATAGGCATTTTTAGAAAAAGATAAGGAGTAATGGCAAAGTATGATTTGAGAGAAATGTGATTACTGATGGGCTTACAAATTTATTTAATCACATTAATTTGTTTTAAGGTGATGGGTCCATCTTCTGGGGAATGTTTTGTTTTTTAGGGGACATAGAATTGTTTAATAGTGAGATTAATCACAATTTGAACAGACTGTATAGTTGCCCTTTGATTTATCAATTTCAATAAGCAAAATTTCAATCAAACTTAGATAAAAACTCTAATCCTAAATAGGTCAGGTTTGTCACCTCCTACTTCCCATAAGCTGCTTACCATAGTTAAAGAAAGAAAAGAAAAAAAAAAGGAGAAGAAGTTGTTTTAAATTAAATGCCAAACAGTTGTAGACAGCACTTGTTTGGCTGATTAACTTGTAGACAAGTATTACAAATAAATCTGAGCATGAACTGCAGCAAATTAAATTCCACTGCTTTTAAGAACAAAGAATTCCTTGGCAAAGAGGATTAGCAACTTTACACCCAGGAATGCCAGTTTAATTTAATTGTTCCACAAGCCAAGATTTATGCAAATATCATTTTGATATATAACAGTGAATTTAACAAAGTGAGGAAACAAATTCAATATACAACCAGGCTTCCTTTTCTGAACTGTAATTATATACAATAAAGAAGCTGGCCGAGTTTCCCCGACCCCCACCCCTGCCCCATTATTGGGATTGAATTATATTAACATGAATCAGAACAAGTGTAATTAAAGGTTAAAAATTTTAAACATATTCTAACTAAGAGTCTAAATAGCTTTACAATTAGAATATTGTAGTTAAAAATCACACCTCAATGATCTTCTTGGCCTCTTTGTAATTTCCTGTTTGTAGGAAGGCAAAGAAGAGATCATAGAGCATCGTCATTTCACCTTGTTCTTGGCTCACAAAGTCCATTGCTATAGAGAAAATTAGAAAATATATTAGAAGATAAAATAGAAAAACGCAGTATCACTTGAAACTCTGGAAAAATACAAGAAAATTTTGAAACAAATATTTTAGATCATCTTAAAGACAGCTATGTCAACCAATTTCCTGTCATGTTTCTTATTTAACAACATACATTTATGACATTAAGTACCTAAGACTAGCTTCGAAAAGAACTGGTTACAGCCCTGGCGGTTTGGCTCAGCAGTTGGAGCGTTGGCCTGCGGTCCAGAGAGACCAGGGTTCGGTTCCCGCTAGGGTCATGTACCTCGGTTGGCAACCACTCGATGTGTCCCTTTCATGTCGATGTTTCTCTCTCTCTCTCTCTCTCCCTCCCACTCTATCTGAACAAAATATCGAAAAAATAAATAAATAAAAAAGAAGTGGTACAGCCCAGCCACATTGAGTGTTGTCTCATGCACCAAGAGGTCACCGGTTCAATTTCCGGTCAGGGCACATGCCCAGGCTGTGAGCCAAAACCCCAGTGGGGGGCATGTAGGAGGCAGCCAATCGATGTTCTCTTTCATGGATGTTTCTCTCTCTCTCTCTCTCCCTTTCTCCCTCTCCAAAATTAATAAAAGAAAAAAACTAAAAAAAAAACAACCAACAAACTGGTGACCATAATGGTAAAAAATCATCATAAAGCTAGATCACCAAGAAGTAGAACAAAAATTAATACAGGGACTTTTCAAAATGAATAGTTATTAAAATCAAGGACATTTATACTACTGAAAATCTACCTGTTTTTTTCTTTTTAAATTAGAAGTGTAGCAATGTTTCCCTGGATGCGCTTGCCTTTGTGTTCAATTTTCTCTTTACAGCAATGCACTAAGATTAAATAAACAACAGGGAGGGGGGAGGAGGGTGAACACTGAGTATACCAAGATATTAAAAGGTGACCAACCTTTCTGAATGAGATCAGTCTCGCCTTTCTCTACCAGTTTACATAAGACATCATGAATCCTTGGTAATACTTTATACTTTTCATAGCAGTCAATGCTGGCTTTAAGAGCAGCAGGTAAGTCATCCCTTGGAAACATAAAAATATTAACAATGACTAAAATGTATATGACTGAGCTTTATTTAAGGCAGAAAACCACAAAGCCAAAAGAAAAAAAAAATTCTTACATATAAATAAATGTTCAGAGTACAGACATCATTAGCAGTTTCCTGTTTTCCCTGCTTCATCTTTTATTATTTCATTTGTTAAATGACACTTATAAAAAGTCCAAATAGATGATGGCATTCTCTGAGATTACTGTAAGAATGCATTACTTCTAAAAACAATGACTACTAGCAAATATTTTTCCCACTATTTATGTGTTTTTGGTTCTCAATAATTCCAAATTTGGGAACTTTATTTTATTTTTAAATTTTTTAATCATCACCCAAGGATATATTTATTGATTTGAGAGAAAGAGGAAGGGAAGAGGGAAAGAGGGAGAGAGAGACAGAGACAGAGACAGACAGACATCAAAACATCAATCAGTTGCCCCTCGTACGAACCCCAGTCTGGGATCAAAACGGAAACTTAGGTATGGCCCTGACCAGGTATCAAACCCGCAACACCTTTTGGTACACAGGACAACACTTGAACCAACTGAACCACTAGGCCAGGGTGGGAAACTTCATTAAATGTCTGTCAATATCGATCAAAAAATTTTCAAGCACTTCCAACTTTATCATCATATTTTTCACATTGCTACCTCTCCAGATAAGGAGAAAATAACTTCAGATTCATATATACAGAAATTTACTGTTGCTAAAACTAGGATATTCTTATGGCCAGTGAATTCTAGAAGAACTCTTAAAAGGCTTTTCATTAGAGGGTAAGCTTTCAAAAATTATTTCTAATTACAAAGTCAAGGCTTCTCTTATGTGGTAATAAATTAATATAAAAAGATTTTCATTAAGTCAGAATTTCTTAAACAAGTGTGTGGAAATACATTCTTGTGGGTCCTCATAAACTACTTTTTCCTTTAAACGGAAATGACAGTATGAGAAATATGTAAGACCTTGGAAAAGCTGTAGAGATTATGTGATCCAATTCTACCTGTCACCATCCTTTACTTTTAAATAAATGAGGAAATTAAGGCGTTTAGACATTGAGTGATTTCTACTAGGTGAACAGAGAAAGAAAGTTACTGCCATCAGGTCTCTAGACCTCCTACTTTCAATGGAGTATATCCAATTATACATTATGCTCTATTAAAAAGCATTATTGTTTGTTTAACCTAATACAGTGATACAATATGGAATTAGAAATTAAAGATTTTTAAAAAGAGAATAGGAAATATAGTTTTAAAAAAGATGCATGATTAGAGACATGGACCAAAGTCCTAACGACAGTGATAATCTTAGGAGAGAAAACATTTCACACATGAAACAGTTTTCAAAAGGAAGAAAGCCTTTTTACATTTTCTGTTGAAGCCCTAACATTTTGGTCCTTTATACAAACGTTATGTTGCCCTAGACTGAACAACTATTTTATCTAGATTTAAGATTTTAAGCTGTGCAAAAAAAGTAAAATGCCATGAAGAAGCGTTAATTTTATTGCAATAATACTGACAGTAAAAACGGGCCTATCCTGATGGAACTCTACCTTATCTGGTTACTGAGCCCTGTTTACAGTGCATCTTCTGGCACCCCACAGAGTAATTTGAATTTTTGTCATTTGGGGTGAAGACTAAATTACAGGTTAATTTCAAAACCGCAAGTAGATGTTGCAAGGCTAGATTACTGTCATACAAGAGAAATGCTACAGTAGCTACCACATATGATATAAAGCTTCATATAATCAGTATTTTCCCTTGCATCAGACACAAGTTCAGTTATTACCTTTCTACAATTCCATTTAATGGAAAACTACCAAAATATTTTTAAGAGAAAAGTTAACACATACTGATTTTTAAAAAGTGGTATGATTTGTTTTTGTTTTTTTTTTCAGATAAATTCCCAAACTAGAATAGTAATATCTCAATTGTATTTCCCCTATGTTAGGTCAAAGCTATCAATAAATGAATGAATAATTGTTCTGTCAATCAAAGAGACATGTTAATAGTCTTTGGTCTCCAAATATATGCTTCTAAAGATTATAGAACAACAACAGAAAAGACAGGAATAGCAAAATGTAAATAATTCATATATTTGTTAGAAATATAAGTACCAATGTTACTACGCTCAGGTTGTCAACAAAAAGAATTAGAAATCTATAATGAAACATTTCAAACAAACTATAATGATGACAGAAATGAACTAATGACTTAGTTCACTCTTTTTAATCCCTATTATCTACATTCTGACTTGTGGTTGGATCATGTCACTTTAAAAAGAGATAAAAGTGTTCCTTCCTCATATAATATGATGTCATCATTAATCTTTCCTATTAAAGCTTGGAAATTTGGGTGATGAAAATAAAAACATAAAAAAGTATCTAATATTCTCATTGTTATGAAAATAGCTGTATACTCATGGGACTTCTGAATTACAATCCTATCGATAAGTACTACAAGCAGTTCAACTGCAGCAATGTGATATATTTCTAGAAGTGGTGATAAAAAGCAGATTATCACAATGGCTGAACTAAAGGACTTTTGGGTTCCCTCCCAGTTCTAATATTCTAATGTGAAGTTGGTTCTATGAATTTGAGCTTTCAGGTTCATCAACTCAAATGTTTCACACCAGCAGAGAAAATCATCTTGTAAAAATAATACTTTTATTAGGCAACATGAAGTCAGTAAGAGCAGCAAAATATCAAAAGGAAAAGGTGGAAACAGCTTTATAGCCAAAATGTGGGACACAACACTCCCAGTCAGTGTACCTCTAGTTTCTGTGACCCAAAATGATTCTGTGATTTCCTTTGTACACTTTAAAACACTAGATCTGATTTAAAATCTTACTCTAAAATAACAATAACCTTTTAAAGAAATCTTGTGAAAAACCATTAATTCTGAATTGAAAACACTGATTCCATGCTTATTTCAGTATATACAGGGGGTGGCAAAAGTAGATTTACAGCTGTGAGTAGAAGAAACAGAATTTATTCTTGCATTCTTTATTAATTATTGTTTTATTTGTTTTACAACTATAAATCTACTTTTGCCCATCCTTGTATGCATAATTTCTAAAGCTTTATACACAAATGGGTCACAAACTGTAAAAAGTCCATTACTGATAAAAATTTAGCCATTGATTTCACAAACTTCAAATAATAAAAGAAAATCAACTCTACAACATACTATTATCTTTAAACAACAACAAAACACCACTGTGATAGTCCAATGACTAGACTATCCTAAAAAATATTTCAGTGAAATACATAAAGTAATTTTCATGAATAAAACCATATATGCTTATAATTAGTAGGGAATCATTTTAATATTGTGATTGATGTAAATTAACAACTTCATATAAGCTGTATCAAAATTCTGTGAATCTATGAAATAAAGGCAGAACAGAGGAAAGATTCTATAATTCTAAAATTTAAGAACATACATATAATAGACTAAGTCCAACAAGTAATTTGAATACTTAAAAGAGAGTTTTATTTATTAACATGAATGGACTTACTGGGCTCATATTAAAATTCATTTTAGAAATCTCTTTTCACTTTTTTTTTTTTAATCCTCACCCGAGGACTTTTTTCCATTTTTTGTTCAGATGGAATAGGAGGGAGAGAGAGAGAGAGAAACGTGAAAGGGACACATCAAGTGGCTGCCTCCCACACAACCCAACCAGGGCCGGGGACAAACTGCAACCAAGATACGTGCCCTTAGCGGAAACCGAACCCGAGTCTCTCTGGACCGCAGGCCAACACTCTAACCACTTAGCCAAACCAGCCAAGGCTCTTTTCACTTTTTAGGGAACATGACCACATATAAAACTACTAGAAACTTAATTTTGCATTATTACGTGAAGGAACATCCAAAAAGCAAACTTATAGCTCAAATGGGAAATGTGACGTTACCTCTAGTTTTTGTCCTTATTATGAAATTAAAGAATGCTGTAATGTCTCTGACAGAAAAACAAACACTAGACATACATTCATATGAGGCATTTAATAACCATAACAATATCTACTTAAAGGTACCAGGAAAAAAAGTACTCCTGACCCAAATTCCTCAGTATATATAACTATAAAAATCACAAATGTGTTTCATACAATCTTGAATTGTTAGAACAAGAACCAGTGACCACTATCTATTCACCTATCATTAGCTTTAAACTTAGTCTCCTTAGTTATAGTAAATAACTTTCCAATCCAGAGAGTATACTTAATTTTAACAACCAAAAAAATGACAAATATTGATTTTTAATTGGAATAAAGTGCTTCAACATTATGCACGAAGTGTTAGAGAAGTGGCAATTTACTTAAAGGGCTTACTGACTAAAAAGCTCTCAAATCTGAAATCACTAAAGAAGGGCTTTGGGGGAGAAAAAAAGTTTTTAAAGGGGAAAAAAATACCTCAGCATTCTAAAAACAAACTGTTCTATAAATTTTAAGCAGATGTTCAGTTTGGAGAAAAATGAATTCAGGAGAAACCAACATCTTCACAAAAATTATTCTGTTTAAAGAACCAGTCCTTGAAAGAGCTAAATGTTGTTTTTTCTGTTCGTCAACTATAAATGAGGAATCTTCAAGGAGACTGGTGTTGCAATTACAACTAATCCTCCCCAAAAAATTAACTGTGTTGAAGGCTTTGTAATTTCCCTAGGTACAATTTAGCTGTCACTTACTTTAAAATTTACTCAAACATGCGTTCCGAACAGCACTAACTAACTTCACATGTCAAGTGCTTTCCAGCCAATTGAGTCTAAACTGGAAGTCGGTGTTAAACAACTGAATGATTAGACAAGATAGCTCATTTCCCTGCTCTTTTGTTCAGAATAAAATGCCACATTTACATTATCAGGCTCAACAGGATTTTCTGACAGAGGGAGAAAAAACCCTACTGAACACTGTCCGCACTAAGCACATGAAGCCTGTCATTTACCAATCATCCTTCAAAAAGCAATAGCCATGAATGTAACTTAATTACGACCCAATGATCCTTGACGAAAAATCATCTTATCACTGTCCTGTCCCTCTAGGGCAAATGAAACACTTTTGTCCTTTGGCACTGATGATGCTAAATTCTTAATTGCAATAATGGAGTAAAAGAGCCAAACCTCCTTAATTTCCTTTTAGCACATAAAGAGTTTTACTCTAGAAGGCAAGCATTCCCACAAATAATAAAAGTATCCAGTACAAATGAAGATGCTAAAATTGAAGGGGAGTGTGTATGACAGAATAACCAGCATTTAATAAAGTATATTTCCCACTTATTTAACATATTAAAGTGTTACAGTGAGTTTTAAAACTTATATTGTTATCTAACAGAAATTATGACCTTTATTAAGAACTCTAGATTAATTAAGCAAGAGTTCTGAAAGGATTTTATATAGAAAGTCTATGATTCACTTAAATGAAATGTATGTGAGCACATACAGATTATAGCACAAATCAGCACAGAAAAGTCCTGTTTTCTACTGGAAAGCAAAAATTACAGCTTCTTTGATCAGTTGTACTAAATAATCCAGTTAAACAGCTTGAGATATTTTTCATACGCAATGAAACTAAAGTAGATCAGCTATAAAACAAGTGAATCTGAAACTGTATCATACAAATTCTTCTACCTTTAAACCTAATGGCCCCGATTTTATTAACTTCATTTCCTTTACCACTGCATAAAGACTAATCAAAAGCTCTTTTAACCTATTTTTACGTATTTCTTTCTTCCTTAATATGGAGAATTCAGGGTATTTCCCAGAATCAGGCATGATTTCAATTTTTTAAAAATTAAATAGCCACAAAAGAAAATGCTTAAAATAACATTCATTTGGACTACATGTAGGCACATGGCTTATAGAACAATCCTAATGTAAATAAAACACATGAAAATTTTATTCAACTCTGCATATTTTTCTGTTCAATGCAAATATCATTTTGAAAATACAGAAAATTAGTTTATCAACTTGTTTATAATTGGGCAAACCTGTTGGTATTTTGGCAAATGAATAAAAACGAAATGTATTATTTTTCATATCCATAAAGCTTTTCATACATTATCTGAGTAACAAATTGACAGTGTTAATTTCTCCTGTGTTTTTTCTAATGCTGGAGTCAGCTCAAAACGAAAATCTACTGCATCTTAAAGATCATTTTTTTTTAGAATCTTTGCGATGACATTCCAAAAAGATGCTTACCTCTTAATGAAAGGATGAAGATTTTGTACAATGTTCTGGAATGTTTTTCATAATTTTATCTCAAGTGTGAATAACTAAGACTCATTGCCCAGTTGAGCTCATACCGCTGAGGTCAATTACATTATGTTATTGAAGATTAAACATATTTAATCAAATCAAATACATGCAAACTTTTTGGCAGACCAGTGTTGTTAATCCTAGTACTGCGCTTGTCAAGATTCTGAATTAATAGCTACTTTCCATCAGTTGGGAAAAACACAATTGGAAAAAAGTTTTTCAAAGGCAATTTTTTTCTTCCACTTATCCCCAACTAGGAGTACTGCTACTGTTTTCTGCAATTAATAAACATGAAATTTTCTTTGTCTCCTTTTTATTATTCTCATGACTCTAAAACAATCAACAAAATCTTTTTTATAATGAGAGATGAATGTGAGAGATCTTGTCATGGAGACTGCCTCTGAAAAGCAAAGATAGTAACAAAAAAAAAAACCCTAGGCAAATAAAAACAAAAGGTGATAATTTCTCTATGTATGTGAAGATTAAGAAATCATAAAAGAAAAGATGCTAGTTTAGATTTCTCTAGCCCAATTAGGTGGGACAAATTTCACTGAGACATACAAATCTCTGGCTGTACTGTATAATCGAAGCACAGAGCATGCTCCAGGTTAAGTCTGGAGCCCATGGTATTTCCATGCTCCCTTGGGTAAGCTCTCCTTGGTTCATGAGCCCCATCTGCAGACCTCTTTTGGTAAACTTTTGTGCCTCCTCCGTCTTCAAGGTATTTCTATTTGTCAGATACTTTTCTACCATGGCCTCATTTTCATTGTTAATTATTTTATTTTTTCCCAATAGTGGAGGAGGGCCTAATTCTTCTGGGCACTGGGCCCATTCTTTCAAATCCCTATGCAGAGCTCCACATGCAATTTGCAGAGATAGGTCTTTTTTAAACAATCAAAAAATTCTAGTAGGAAGCATATTAATTATAGGATTTCTATATAGAGTTGGCTATGAACGTGAGAACTCAATAACACAGTAATTGCTTGAATCACCATTTCTTTAAAAGGAAGTAATACTGAGACTGTGATGGTTAAGATATGGCCAATCATCTAACCTGATAAACTCTTTTTTGATTGGATGGCAAAACAATTTCATAAAACATGTATGTTTATACATATATATTTATATACACATTTCCTAAAATAGGTAAAGGAGATGTTTTTTATTCTATATTTTAAATTCACACTAAATCATTCATTATATTTAATTAATTAAATCCCCTATTAAATAAAGATTACCAGAAATTTGGGGAAAATATAAGAACTGTTAAAATATATATTTTATTTTCCTCCGAGCATTGATAGGACAACATCCATACTAAAATCAGAAAGTCCCAATCAGGAAATAAGCAGATTAAAAACTGCATTAAGCCATGGAAAAGACGACAAAGAGTTAAGATCCAGGAAATTAAAAAAACAAACACACACAAAAGGAAACGATAATAAAGGGTACTTAATCATCTTACTAAAATGTTTCACTCATTACAATAGAGTGGGTTGATTTCATGATTTGCATTGCAAATAGTACTTTAAATTGGACACCATCAAGATCATTTCAAATAAAACAATTTTAAACTGAGTACATCTTGCCCTACCAAAAAAATTATCTTCTCACAAGGCACAGAAATATCTTCTACAATATTTATCAAAGTTAGAAAAACAATTGGTACATGCAATTAAAATAAAATACCATTTGGAGAAGAGGAGCCCTATAGAGATGCTGTTACACTGTTACCTGGTTAACAGTCGTGACACATAATCAAAAGCCCCAGGGAATCCTTCTTTCTTATACTCATTAGTAATGAACATTTATAAGGCTCATTTATAACTGGAAAAAAATTAGATTTGATTTCATGTAATATCATCATCACGTGCCCCACAAAAAGCCACTGTAGACCATCCCATAAAGAAGTAGTCCACAGGACCACAGAGCTGCTGGTGATTTTAAAGGTCACCTTAGTCCATATAAGTCCTCTTATTCTTGGCAAATAACCTTCAAGGCTTCCACAGCACCTCAGAATATTTACAAAGTATAATCCCCAAATGATTAGACTCATTCTTTTAATGCCAAGATTTTAAATTCAAAATTCAATTAACTTACTTTTCCAGATATAGAGTGACCAATGGGGAACTTATGTTGCTGGATGGTTTCGTTAACCCTAGAGTCATGATGGCTTCATGTAACTGTTTTACTGTTTCAGTTTCACCTCTTAAAGCTGCGCCATTTAGGATGTGAAAAAAGGACAAGACTGTTGCATCTTTGATAAGAACATCCTTCTCTTTCATTTCCTTTAGAATGTTAATAGCATCTACAATGAAGGAACACAAAAGACCCTTAGGTAATTTCATGTAGGGAAAACAAACTGCTATTAAAACAGCATTTCAAGCCCAGCAGGAATGTAAATTCTAGTGTATAATGCCGATTTCAAGTTAATTACTACTTGCATTTCCAAACGAGACTACAATTATAAATCCACAATAGCATGGTTTTATCATTTCCCTGCAACTTTGACTACAAATTATAGATAGGGACTGTGTGCCCACTCTGCACCACATAACCCTGTACGGTCTGCCCTATAGCTGTTAAGATCCTCCTAAATGGATGCTTTTATCGTTCAGAGCTAACATCTGCTAAATCACACCATTGTTTCTTCAGCAGATGGCTTGTCAGGAAGCCAGATAATAAAGATGTGTTTACACTGTATATACAGCCAGACTAATGGTCTGATACCGATAGGGCCTGTTTGCTATGTCGATACTAATTAGCCAAGCAGAGCCAATGAAAGCTTTCCAAAAGACTGCATGTTAATACATTAGATTCATTAAGCTTCATTAGGAAGGCAGAAACAAACATTTTAGGATATGAAATAAGTGCATTTTTATAATGTTGCTCTTAATTATTGCACAAGCAAAATGTTTTGACCACTTTACAAAAAGTGATTTTTAAAAAGCAGGCTAATCCTTATAAAGAGTTTTCTGTGTTAGAAAGCCTTCCCAGGAAAAATTCAATTTTCAAATCAAATAGTCTCTCTATACATTTTTCACTATAAAACATGCTTTTAACTCTCTAGAAATAAAAGGAAGAGAGGAACGATAAAAGAAAGTTTCAAAATAAAACCCAATGACAAAGTTAAGAAACAAACAAATAATAAGAATATATCAAGTACAATTAATATCTCAACAATGAGAAAATTAGAATATGCATATCAGCTATGTAATCATCTAGACTTTCCCTGCAAACTTCTAAATAAAAACTTGTTAGAGTATACATTTTGTTAATGTTCAAAGGTAAAACAAAGACTACTGCAAAATTCATATTCTTAAGTAAAGGTTATGTTTATAGGTTTTATGGTCAGCCTTCAGACATTCTTAAGCAAAAACAAAGCCATTAGTGCAGGCATATAAGCAAACTGTGCCATAAGTCATGATCTTCAAACTCAATCCAAACAGCAATGCTAATAAAAACTAGCTGCAGAAATGCAAAAAGCACTGAGCTGTGCAAATGTAAATGACAAGCTTGCCAATCCATTAAAACTAATGGCCTACACTGTCCATGCTGCTCTGGTTGGATTCACATGCAAATTTGTATGCAAAGTGTTCAAGCACTTTGCAGGACATGATATACCATTAATATCAATTCACATGTTATTCCAGTGGCAAGATATTTGCATCACATATTTCCTTTATATGCCAGGCTTACCTTGGAGTTTGCCATGTTTTCCCAATACTTTTACAAGGCCTACATACTTGTTGGTGTCAAGGACAGCAGATGAATCTAAACGGTCACTAAAAGTTAAAAGCCACATTTATATTATGTTAAAAGTTAATTAACAGCAAAAAAAACCTGCAATATCCACTTTACCACTTTCAAAAACTCATCAGACGGTTTGAATTGCTATTAATATTGGTCACTTCGTTTTCAGTTAAGGTTTATTTTTGAAGCCATATTCAAATTCACATTATTATATTTGAAGTGACCAAAGAAATAAAACTCTAATACTACATATAAATTGCATCACTCCATCTGTTAATGATAAGAATGAAGGAACTCTTGCATGGCACTTTAGGAGATTCCAACTTTGTAACGGACATTGAAATAACCAGAGAGACATATTTTTATTTGGTAAATCTGTCAAAATTAGGGAACCAAAGATACCGGAAAAATGAACAGAATTTTGTTTACACTACAGTACAGAAAGGGGACTATTTAACAAGACTTATAAAATAGTTACCATCACCACTGTTGTGATATGTAGTTGTGTAAGTGAGGGGAAAATGGCTCTAAAAGAATAGTAAGTCTCGTACTTAAACAAAGACTCTTGCTGAAAACAAGCCATAACTAATCAGAGTCTCATATATAAGAACACTGTCAAAAAAATTTTTTTTGGAAAATTACATAAGAGAATAATGTTCAATCTACATGATCCATCAAGGACTACATATCAGCATTAACGCTGATGATTTGTTTCAGTGCCAGGATACTCACAATTCTTGTTTCAGGTTCAGTGCATCTTCTGCATTATCATGTCGACAGCACAGATTTATTAAAGCTGCATAACCACCGACAACCATGTCTGATTCATATTTTGCTTTCAATTCAAGAGCTTTTTGCATGTTCTAAAATAAAGGATAGAAGTGAAAAAATATATAAAAGGAAAGGTAAAATTTCTAGTTTTAATGTTCAAAGTGTAGAAAAAGTTAAGAGTACTTTAAAAATAAATGGATTCATGTTATTTACTTCACCTTGCTCTTTGATATTTTCATTCACCTTTTAAAAAACAGACGAGCTATATATGTAGAGTTTAAAAGATTTGTTGATTTGTTATCTGTAATACAAAACAGGCCACTATGCCAAATTTGATGTTTTAGTTTTAGTACTATATTATAAAAAAGACTTCCAGATTAAATATGTACCAAGTCATCCCTTACTCACAGTCTAATTTCCATACACAGAACATATATCACTGTAAAATTCCTCACAGTCTAGTTTAATATCCAAGTAATGTGAAGAAATATTTTGGAATTTAAGAGTACCATGCTATAATCTTAAAGTCCGTTATATTTTTTCCCTAAAATCACAAGCATACAACCAAATCATATTGAATTAGAAACTGAAAAAGTCTAGTGATATGCCACAAATTGCAGACACCCACTAAAATAAACACAAAGTACAGCTGGACGCCTGCTGAAAAAAGGCAAGAGACCCTTTATCTCAGAAAGAGCTTTTTTTCCAGCAGGAAAATGGAATTTCAATCCCCGCATTAACAACCTAGTAATATTTGACTTGCAAATGACTACTGCATGTATCAGTTGCTTGACAATCTAGATATAAGAGACCGGAGCCATGGCTTGAAAGGACATTTGGCATGTATGATAAACCTATCACAGCTGTTACTATCATTCACTTTGCAGATTATTGTAAACAAACTACAGCAACCTGAAAACATGCCATTCAAGGTGTAGTTGAAATTAGTTAACCTTTCATTTAATTGCATTCTTCACAGGCATGAAATATAATAATCAATTATAAAAATCATAAATACTGTATTTGGTTTTGTTTTCTTTTATCTATAAAGAATTTTTTTTACATTTAATTGCATATTTGAAATATTTAAACAAATGTTACCTCTTCTGAACAAAGCACTAGTATGAGTTGCTTTAGGACATCTCCTATAGGTTGATTTTCAGCTTTTAGTTTTTCAAGTGTAGATTCCAAATCAGATGATGTAAGCTGCATAGTTTGCAGAAATGAAAAAGAAAAAAAAGGAAAGAAATTTACTATAAAAAGAAAATGTTCCCCTTGCCACTCTTCCCTTTAAATTGACCTCTCCTAAATGTCATAAATGCTATCAAGGATATTAATCTGGGGATCCGTGAATGGACTCTAGGGGTTTACAAAGCTCCTGAGATTATATGCAAATTTCTTAGCTATGTTGATTTTTCTAAGTTGGAGAATAGCTTTTTACCAACTTCTTAGAGGTATACTGATGGCAAAATGTTAAGAACCATTGATTTTATAAAGACAGCCTAGAATCTCATTAAATGTGGTCATTATTGTATGTAGAATCTACTCAAAAAAACCCACTTACTTTTCGAGAGTCTGTCTTCTCTCTTTCAACCAATAAATTAACATCCTAAAATTGGAATTTAAATTAGAATTAGAAAACACATGGGAAAATATATTAGCAAATGTCAAAAGCAAATTTTGAAAGTCTCGCTTCATTTTACTGCTATTGTTCCATCTTCCCAAAATTTTCCAGAAATTCTGTTCATACTCTATTAACCATTGCAATAAATGTTTTAAATGCATTCTTTAATATATAAATAGTATTTACCAACAATCAATGAAAAAGCCTTGTTTTAATAGTTTCATTTAAATAAACATTTTAACATGATTTTCTATATAAATTAAGCATTTAAAAAAGTTGATTACTAGTTCTCACACACCTTAATCAATTCAGGAACGTGGTAGCTATCCAGTAGATTACGAATGCCTCTGTAGATATTTTCAGGAATTTTTACATTCTGTGCAAAAGGAAGGGAGGGAAAAAAAAACCCTCAGTTTTAGACAAGTAAACTGAAATTTGTCTAACAGAAATTATCTCAGACATAATTTAAGTCTCCAACTCGTGTATGTCATTGAGAAGTGGTCTGGTTGTACTTAAAAGCAGCAATTTCAAATCTAATAGATACATGTCAGGCAGGACAGGCATTATATAGCAAAAAATGAAATGGTACCATCTCCTTCAGCTGATGGAAGTATTGTCTCAAACGCTCCTCCTTGGCCTGTACCTCTGAGTCACTCATGCTGTCAATCAAGTTATAAAGAAAATAGCCAACAGCTTCTGTGGGGGGAAAAAAAAAACCAGAAAGCATTCCACTAAAATTACTGAGACTGTCATGTTATCAAGATTAATTTATAAGAAATCATTTTGGTGTGAGATGTCACCCTGATGAGAGGCTCTGAAATGGCAACAATGATCACTGAGGCATAGAGATTATGTGGTTTGGGAGCACATTTCTAACTGGTGAGTGAAAGGAATATTAATTATTTTCAAACCGAGTGACAGCTTTTCAGTACTGAATCTTACTTCAATCTATTTTTTTCTACCACTCTCTGACAGAAGTGGTCCTGCCCAAGGCCTTACCCCTTTCCTGTCCAAATCACAGTAGTGAGAATAAATAAATGCCCTGTACACATTTCTATACTAATTTTTTATAGACAATATTTAGGGAAACATAAAATTAAAAAAGATTGTTAAATGTTGGGTATAGAAAGTTAAATAATTTTAATAAGCAGATATAGTAATCCTGTGGAGAGCTGCCTATTAGCCAATAAAAAACCAAGATTAACAAAGATGTTTTGTAACAACAGTAATTTTTCTATGCATTCAAGCATAAACTGTATAGGGCCATGTGTAAATACCTAGCATAGAAAATTTGAACTTTCAAGAAGGGCATCTTCTTACAGAAAAACATATATTCTAGGCCTCATTATACAAAAAAGTGAAAATCATTAAATGTCAAATAATGTAATAAATTATATTTAAGTGAAAAAATCTACAAGATGTGTTTATTACTTTATATGTTTAAAATTAACACTTGTAAAACATCAAAATCATATAAACGAAGGATTACTGATTTTTAAGCCTACTTCCATAGGTGCTATATGAAGCATTTCCTCAATTCCTGAAAAGAAAAAGCCTCCCAACCCTGTCTTTAAGAAAATAATAATGATAAAACCAAACACCTCATAGATCTCAAAATGTTGTGGTTACCAATATACAGATTTATTACCAAATGTTTTCAAATTTCACTTTCAAAAAGAAATGTTTACAGCTGTAATCTGTCTAGCCCATCATTACACAGAAGAATGAATTTGTGGATAAGTTACAATCATCGAAATTGAAACGCTACCCGTTGGTCCTGGAGGCTCCTGGCAATAACGTCCATCCTTGTACAACAGTTCCGTTATCTGGTAAGACAGAAAATCCGTGCATTGCAGCAAGAGAAGCAAACAAGAACAAATGCAATCTGAAATTGAATTCTTGAAATAATAAAGCTTCTCCCCAGTAAGGTATTATTCTATATCACAGTAATTCAACATCACCCCCACCTGCCAAAAAGATTGTTTCGTTTTTAAATAGGTTTGTCTTTTAAAAACAAAAACAAAACAAACCCATTTTGAAGGAAACTGCAATGTTTTATGAAATGTCACTAAGAAAGCCTCTAAACTGATTTGTTTATATATTGTTTTAAATAAATTGTTATACATAGGGAAGAGCTTATCAACCAATATTATTTCTCATCATATTGTTTTTGGTCTTGTTGAAATTGGACCAGTTGCCTCCTTTTAAGTGAAGTATCTCAGAAATAATAAAGTAAAATATTCTGGACCACTTATTTTTAGTTTTTCAACAACCTTTTCCCCGTCATTTTAATGGCATTAAAACAAAAGTTCTAATGTGTTTGTTATTATGAATTCTTATCAATTGAATACATAAACACTAGAAGACATATACAACACTTATTCAACATTAATTCTGCTGGCAAAATTTTAATTTTAAAAACACCAAATATGTATTTTATGATGAAAATAATTACAAAACCCATAGCACTGACTTGTAACTTTTGAACACAATATTTAACTATATTTCCTTGGGCTGTTTTCCAAAGTGAGTTATGAATTATGAACTACATTGTGTGTATTCTACAACTAAATTTATTTGCTCTTAAAATAGCACCTGCTACATGTTATGTGTTAACAACTCAAAACTGCAGTTACTTCTACTATTATTTATTTGCTAATATGGAAAATTAGAAAAAATCATGCTTTGGTTACTAGCAATTCAAAGTATAGTTGAGGCAGAAACTGTTCAAAAACAAAGCAAAACAATCATCACCTACAAACTGTTTTAAACAACATAGATGTATGAAGACAGGCAGTATGTTCTATCAGAAGTTATAGCTGTACATTAAGTAATACCAAATTTTGAACAAAGACACATTTAATGAATATACCAATTAAATCTTTCTAGTTTAAAAATTACTTACAAATATAAATATCCCCACTAAATAGTATAATTGACTAGACAGTTTGAATAGCAGCATAATACCTTAAAAAACAAAACAAAAACTGAATACAATTTAGATCTTTAAAATTATTGGAAATCTAATCAACAACACACATTCTATTTTTTTAAACCACAAATAGTTCTTTCAATTCAACATAAGGATAATTGTACATCCTGCATAAAAGCAGTTAACTTCTTAAAAAGACAGCAGTTTAAAATTGGTCTGTATATTATTCATATATAGATACACTTACATTAATGTATCTGAATGCATATATGTTTTAAATTAATTATTCAATCTATATGGACAAATGCAATAATGTGGACAGTAGTCCTTTGGAAAAGTTAAAAACCTTGTGAGGAATTTAAGACTAAGTCAAGGATTACCTTAATAATAAATTTCATGATCCAGGAAGGCAGTTTTAGAACTACCAACTTCAAGATTCTAAACTCACTAACTTACAGTAATATATTATAAATGTGTATAACATAACTTTTGCTCTTAATAGCTTCTTATACATCACCTTATGCTTTGCAATATTAGTACTTACTTTGCTCCAAAGATTTATATTCATAGACCTGCAGAGGGCAGCAAAGGATTGAAAATAAACTCAGGTTTATAAAACATTTTAAGTTCAAGCAAACTAGCAATGATTATATTTAATGCATACAGATCAAAGCCCTATAACAAATAAAGAAATGTTTCCAAAATCAAGTTGAATTTGCAGGAGAAGGTAATTTAAAAAGTTAGTTGACTCGTACTAACTTTGAACTCTCAAAATAAAAGTTAGTTTGGGCAAGAATCCTTAAGAACCCATCCCTAAATCTTAGGGAGTTTGATGGAGCAAAATATGTGCATGGTCTCAAAGTGGCCACAGATTGCTTATTACCTGTAATGGAAAGACAGTAACCATATAATGGAGAAATCGAACATCTACATCTGGTGATGAAAATTAACATCACTAATGACATGCTGGTGGGACACTGTGTGTTTTTAGATTGAATTCCCCAAGGTATTTCAAGTAGGATGTAAAACCTGAAGTTAATCATGGGGAACCATCATGAGGAACCTTCTAACTGGCCTATATTCTCCAAAAATATCAATGTCGTGAAAGGCAAAGGCTAAATAACTATTTCAGGTTAGAGAAAATTAAAGAGAAAAGACAACATTCATCCCTGAACTGGATTCTGTATAGGAGGAAGGGAAATACAAAAAAAGAAAGTCATTGATAAAACTGAAACATAAACTATACAAAAATATTCAGTCAATGTTAAATTTCCTGAATTGGCTATTTATGCTGTAGTTGTATCACAGAATAACTTTGTTCTGTGGGATTATACACTGACATTTTTAAGGGTAAAGGGTCATGATATATGCAACCTAAGCACAAACAGTTCCAAAAAAATAAATTTTATATATCTATATGTGTATATACAGATTGACAGATGGAGGGAATAAATAATGATAATATGGCAAAATGTTAAAAGTTAGTAAATGGAGTATGCAAGAGTTCACCATACTATTTTTGTAACTTTATGTATATTTGAAATTATTTCAAAGAAGGCAGAAAGAATAGCTTACCCAAATTTTACCTATTTAGTACTTCTAAGCTTTGTAAACTTAATTTCTATAAGCTTTGCATAATTAATTCAAATATACAATCTACTTTAAGACTATGTGTTTTCATAGTAATTTTATAATGTAAACATATTATAATTTATATATGTATTATAATATTTTATTTTATATAAATAATTTATTATATTATTTATTATAATACATATATTTACAGTATAACATGCCCACAAAATTTATAGGGCTTTTTAAACCAAAGGTTGGGTAGTTTGGGGTGGACTGAGTTTTGGTACAGTGAGTTAACAGAGCACTTATTTTTACTTTAAAAATATATTCAAAATGAACTACTAACACAACAATTTGGGTGGATTTCAAGGGCATTAACACTGAGCAAAAAGAGCACAATCTTAAAACATACTTTATGAGTCCATTTATATAACATTGCAAAATAGTAAAATTACAGAAATTGAGAACTAGTGGTTAATATGAGTTAGAAATGAGGGGGGGGGGGGTATGACCATAGTGGGATAGTACCAGGGGATATTTGCAGTGATGGAATAGTTCTGTATCTTCATTTTGGTGATGGTTACAAGAATCTAGTGATAAGATGTTAGAACTATACATACACACGTTGTAGTAATGTCAAATTCCTGGTTTTGATAATGTACTACAATTATGTAAGATGTACACTGGGGGAAAATGGGTGGAGAACACATAGGTTCTCTGTGTCCTACCTTTGCAACTTCCCTGTAATTCTATAATTGTTTTAAAATAAAAAGCAAAAACATGTTCCATGTCCCTCTAGAATCCTCTTCCTTATGATAAAATCATCCCTCCCTCTGAAGCATATTAAGAAGTAGTTTTGAACCCGACCGGTGTAGCTCAGTGGATTGTGCGTCATCCCACAGACTGAGAGGTCCCGGTAAGATTCCCGGTCAGGGCACATGCCCCGGCTGTGGGTTTGATCCCCAGTAGGGGATGTGCAGAAGGCAGTCGATTGATGTTTCTCTCCCACATCGATGTTTCTCTCTCCACCTTCCCCTCGCTCTAAAAAATCAATAAAAACATATTTTTTTAAAAAAGGTTTAAAAAATAAGATGGAATCTTACCTATAGGTGGGAGAAAACATTTATGAAGACCTGTGTTTAGTACACTGCTTGATTCGGGAAAAATTTCTTTTGAGAAATTAATTAATAGAAGAAATGATAAACTGACCTAAAATCGTAACTCTAGGCTGTGACAGCAAACAATCTCTCAATTATTATGAGAGTTTTCATCTCACTCATCCACTGATTAGAGCAGCCTCCTCTGAGTACCTGACATTTCCATATGCAAAAAAAAAAAAAAAAGATTCTTTTTTCCAAATAGTAAGTGAAAGAAGAGTGAGAACTCAAGATATGAAGATAAAATAAAAACCTATATTGATTAAAAAAAAAATTAGGCATCTTTTGTGGTTAGGTCAGAAACAGCTTTAATTCCAAGGACTCTTAAACTGTAGATGCCTATCACATTTAAGGAATGGTGAGGGGAGAGAGTAGAAATATCAGCATTTTCGAGGAGGCCAATGCCCAGAAGTATATAGTATTAAGTGGCAAGGCTTGCAGTTTGTCACCTTTTCTGTATCATGTAGCACTTTGGAAATGTGATGATTTCTTCTTCTCATTTACTGTTAATTTTGTCAGGTGTGATAATACTACAGTAGTTATGCCTGGCCAGTTTGGCTCAGTGGTTGAGCATCAGCCTGCGGACCAGAGAGTCCTGGGTTCGGTTCCCACTAGGGGCATGTATTACAAAAAAAAAAAAAAAAACCCAAAAAAATAAATAAATAAAATAAATTCTGAGATGTATATTCAAGTATTTATAGATAGAATGACAAGAGGTCTATAATTTAAAAGTCCAGGGGGCAAAAAAGGGAGGACTGGGATAGGGATGGGCTGGAAAATGAATAGATGAAACAAGACTGCCAAAATCTTAACTGTTGAAGCTGGGTAATGGGGACTTGGGAATTTTACTTTTGTGAATGTTTGAAAATTCTAGAAAATAAAACATAAACACATACCAACTCTGGTCTAAATTTTGCATCTCTATTCCAACTGTCAACATTAATAAGCTGGGCTTCTTTTTTATGAAAAGCTATTTCAATAATCTCTGATCAAAATATTAATTTAATGTAGAATAAAAAATATTGCTAAACTATTAAAAACTGCCGTCAAACCTAGCATGAAGTACCTAGGAAAGGCATGGAGATAAATTTTCAAAGTTGTACATATATAAAATGACTGAAAATGACTAAAATCACTACCTTGAATGTGCAGCTTCATGATAAATGGGAAAAAATTTTTTAAATGCATGCAGAATCTTTTAATACTAAGCTTTAAAAAAAAAGGTAAACATTTCCTCACCCCATGTTCACTCCCTAATCCACTGTAATCTGGCTTCTGGCCACAAACCTTCACTGAAAGTACTCTGCTAAAATTACCACTAATCACAACTCAAAACTCACCTAACACTTTTTGGTCCCCTTTGACTACATTTTGAGATTTGTGTTGTTGTTGATCGTATCTGCCAGTCTCCCAGTGATGCTACTCAGTCTCTTTCAGAAATTCTTTCCCTAGCTGCTCCTTAAAAGTAATCCTCTAGCCCTGGCCAGTTTGGCTCAGCGATTAGAGCGTTGGCCTGTGGACCAGAGAGTCCTGGGTTCAGTACCTTGGTTGCAGTTTGTCCTCTGCCCTGGTTGGGGTTGTGTGGGTGGCAGCCAGTCAATGTGTCTCTCTCACATCGATGTTTCTACTCTCTCTTCCTCCCTCTCTCCTTCCTGATTATTCTGAAGATAAATGCAAAAATGTCCTCAGGTGAGGATAAAAAAACAAAAACAACAGTAATCCTCTATATTGGGTTCCGAATGCATTATTTTTTTTTTTAATTTTCCCCCCTTTATTGATTTGAGAGAGAGAGGAAGGGAAAGAGAGAGAGAGATGGAAACATTGATGAGAGAGAACATCGACTGGCCGTCTCCTGCATGCCTCCCCACTGGGGATTTGCCCACAACCTGGGCATGTGCCGTGACCGGGAATTGAACTGGCGACCTCTTGGTGCATGGGTCGACACTCAACCACTGAGCTATACCAGCCGAGCTTTTTTTTTTTTTTAAGGCAATTCTGCATGTAGGTATTTAAATTGTTTCACAAAAGAGAAAACAGACTCAGAAAGACTAATTATCTTCATCTTAAACCCCACAGGCTCCTCAAAAGATCCCATGAACTGATCATCTCTTCATGTTGCCCTGTTTCCCCATCTCTTATCTACACACTTTTCTCCACCCTTCAAATATCCACTATCAGTTATCTTACTTACATAAACATCCAATGGCTCCCATGACTCAAGGTCCAAACCTAACAACTTAGAATAAGATCATTCATGAAGAGCCCAAGCTACAATTTTGGCTTTTATTGCTATTATTTCTTGGTTTCCTGGGCTACCATTTATCAAACTGCCTTCAGATCCCCAGATGCACTATTTTCTCAGCCTCTGACTTTGCCTGGAATGCCCTTCCTTCTCTGTAGATAAGTTCTCACTCATCCTTCAATACTTAGCTCAGCACCTTCTCTGAACATCTTGCCCTGAGCCATTTCTCCACTGACACTGGCAGACAGAGAGAAAATCTTCTCTTCTATACATTCATGCTTATCAAGACTAGTACGCAGTTGCTTTCATACTCTGGTCTCTAACTATGAAATAGGGGGCAAGAAGTTTCCTACTCATCCTTGAATAACTTATCTCACTGTCCCAGCCCATGGCACAAACTAAAGAGCTAACATTTTCTGAGCACTCACAAAATTCATGAAGTATTTCCCCTCCCCTTGTAAAAATGTCATGAAGAAACATCACTGGCTAACTAACAAGAAAACCTTAATATCTGATACTTAACTTGGTGACTTCAATAGGACTAGCATCAGAAACTTGATTTTTTTCAACATATGAAAAGTAGTGCCATTTCAACAGT